CATGTCTTTTGTCTCTCACTACATTTTGGTACTTCCTGCTTCCCCATTTCAGGGATCTGATGACTTAGGACACCTCCTTGACCTAGGCGTGGTCCTCTGAGGTCAGCGGGAGAGAAGAGAGGGACACAGCAGCGGTGCAGGAGGTCCTGCCTGATACAGAGCACACAGGAACCAGAGCAGGCCTTTGCTCACCATCATTCGCAGGAACTGCCATCTCCCCAGGCTGAGCAGCTGTGCACAGGAGAGAAAGCTACACACGACTGTGCATTTCTGTGTTTGTTTTTGGTGTGGGTGATTGAACCTAGAGGCTTCTTATCATCCAGCTACATCATTTTAATGGTTTTCTGTGTTTTGTTTTGTTTTTTTTTTTTGAGACACAGTCTCACTATGTAGTGCAGGCTGGCCTTGAACTCACTGTGTATTCCAGACTGGCCTCAAACACACGATGATCCTCCTGCCTCAGCCTCCTGAGTACTGGGATTACAGGTGTGCCACCATGTCAGGACTTAATGCTGTTCTGGGACAGGGTCTCACCACATTGCCCAGGCTAGCCTTGTACTCTTGACCCTCCTGCAGCAGGGATTGCAAGAGTGCACCCCCCCACCCCTCTGGCTTCCTTCCTTGTTTGTGTCTCCATTTTTCAACCTTTGAAGAGGGCTGTGTCCTAACTGCACGCTGGAAAACACCATTTAATAAGAAAGCAGTGCTGTGTGTCAAGATGCATGGTGGCCGCGTGGCTTGGACACGGCCTGATTGTGTCCCAGGGGGTCCTGTGTAAGGAGCCTGGTCTCCAGCATGGTGGTGCTGAGAGGTGGCAGGGGCTCATGGGAGGGCCTGGGTCAGTGAGCAGGCGCCTTTAGAAGGGGCAAGGGTGGTTCTCCTGGGACCTCGACCTCCCATGCGGGCAGACTGCTACAGAGCCAGCCCAAGGCCCAAGGTGCGCTCCAGCTTCCCGCGCGGGCACTCAACCTCCTCCTGCCAGCGCTCCCACCACCCTCAGTGAGGACAGAGCTGGCACCAGGCTGCCTGGACTTCCAGCCTCCACATGTGAGATGAAAGACCTCTGCTTTATGGTGTTAGCCTTCCTTAGAATCCGCACGGTGGTCCTGAGAAGCAGAGGAGTACAACTCAGTTATCTGGACTGCGCCTCCCAAATCAAAGCCACTGAGAGATGGGGTAACCGTGGGGGCAGGTATTCTTTTTTTTTTTTTTCTTTTTGTCTTTTTGAGACAGGGCCTTGCTATGCAGTTCAGGCTGGCCTTGAGCTCACTTTGTAGCCCAAGCTGGTCTCGAACTCGCAATGATCCTCCTGCCTTAGCTTCCAGGGTGCTGGGATTACAGGCATGCACCACCATGCCCAGTGGGAACAGGTATTCTTAGAGGTGTCATGAATCCCACAGGAGTTAGGGCTCGCCGAGTCTGAATGAAATAGACTGTGGAAACCACACAAAGAGCTTGGGCTCCAAGGCCATGCCCAGCTCATATCTGACAGCTTCCAGGGGAAGGACAGCATCACCACGTCCAAGGCTGACCAAGGAGATCAAAGAGAGGTCCCTGCCAGGTGGCACTGAGCTCTCAGGAGCTCTGCAAAAGGTGTGTGGTGGGAGCCAGCTACCAGGAGGTCACCTCTGACAGACGTCATGACCACGCACCATTCTTCTTTGGATTTTCAGTCACAACCGGCATCACTAGACTTGTCCACAAAACCTCTAGCCATGATCCCAGAAGTCTGGGGCTGGTTATGCACGGCATTTTCCCACAGAAGTAAATGCCATTTCTGCCTGCAAGAGGATGCTTTAATGACATCCTTTAAAGAATGTTCACAAGCAGTTCTCCAAGGAGAACATAACAACACAATCTAGCGGGGCAGAAATAACTGGAAAATGCCTTAGGGAGAGTAGGAAACTAGAAAAATACCCTAGCAGATTTGAAAAGGAAAGAAAAGGACTTTGGAAAACATGACAACCATGGCTGACTAAGATAAGGACAAGTTAAAGATTTATGGGAGCTGAAGAAAGACCCCAGGGACTCAGCAGATAAACCAGAAGACTTCTCCAGAATGCAGCCAAGGGGACAGAGATGGGACATGTGGAAGGGACCGTGAGAGACCTGGGTGAGGGTGCGAGAAGGAACAGCACGTAATTAAATTGCCTCCAAGGGAAGAGAGAGGGAGCGGTGGGGTTTTCTGGAGAAAACAACTGAAAAATTCCCAGACATGACAAAGCCACCATCCATATATTCGGGAAGCAAATCCCAAGCAAGATAAACAAAAACAAACAAATATCCAGATATGTGTCAAAGAAATTCAGAATAAATGACAAAAATCATAAAAGCATTTAGAGGCAATAATTATGTTACAGTAAGATCTCTGCAGAATCTTCAAATATCTAGAAATTAACACACATCTGAGTAGCTCATAGGTCCCACAAGAAAGAAAATAGAAAGTGATTTATACTGAAGGAAAAGCAAAACACAACACATGAAAATCTGTGGGACAGTTCAAGCAATGTTTAACCTATGAAGGGAAATTTTTTTTTTTTTTTTTTTTTTTTCTCTTTGAGACAGGGTCTCGCTGTGCAGTTCAGGCCGGCTGTGAGCTCACTTTGTAGCCCAGGCTGGTCTCAAATTTGCAATGATCCTCCAGCCCCAGCCTCCCAAGTGTTAGGATTACAGGCGTGCACCATCACGCCCGACTTCTATGAAGGGAAATTAATAGCACTGGACACTTAGAGATCTTCAATCAATGACCTAGCTTATAAATTCAGAAACTGGGAAAAGTTGCTGGGCGTAGTGGTGCACACTTGTAATCCCACCACACAGAAGGCTGAGGCAGGAGGATAACTGAGAGTTCAGGGTCAGCCTGGGCTGCATAGTGAGTTCAAGGCCAGCCTGAACTACATAGAGAAATCTTGTTGAAGGAAAAAAGAATAAAGAAACAGGGAGAAGGCAATAGTTTTTTTTTTTTTTTTTGTTTTTTTTCCGGTACCGGGAACCGAACTCACGACCTTGCGCTTGCCAGGCAGGTGCTTTTGCCACTGAGCTAAATCCCCAGCCCGAGAAGGCGATAGTTAAACCCACAGTAAAGTGAAGAAAACAATCACACCATTCAGAATTAAAACAAATAAAACAGTAGAACATTAAGGAAAATCAGTAAAATAAAAATCTGAGTTCTTTGGTGATACTGAGGCTCACAGACCTCTAACTTGATCAAGATTGATGCGGGGAGCAATGATTAATATCAGGAATGAATGAGATGATTTCTTTATAGATTTTGAAAAGAAAAAGGATAATAAGGGACAACTATGAACAAATTTTTAGAATAAATACAACAGCCTAAATAAACTGGACAAATTCCTTGAAATATACCAACTACAAAAACTCAGTCAAGGCTGGGCAAGGTGGCAAATGCCTGTAATCCCAGCACTTGGGAGGCTGAGGCAGGAGGATCATTGTGAGTTTGAGACTAGCCTGGGCTACAAAGTGAGCTCAAGGCCAGCCTGAACTGCATACTGAGACCCTGTCTCAAAAAAAAAAAAAAAAACAAAAAAACAAAAAAACTCACTCAAGAGGAAATCAACAACTTGTATAGCTCCATATATATTAAAGAAATTGAATTTATACTTACAAAATTTCATACAGAGAAAGAGAGGGAAGAAAATTTTACACAAAGAAAAATCCAAGCCTAGTTGGAGTCACTGATGAATTCTACCAAGCACTTAAGCAAGAAATAATACTGATTCTACACCAACACTTCCAAGGAATTCTTCCAAATTTATTCTATAGGGAAAAAAAATCAAATATCAAACTGGGCAAAGGTATCAAAAGAAAACTACCGCTATTGCACCCTTTTGAACACAGATGTTGCTGGACATTGTGATGTCTAGTGATTCCAGGCTCTGTGTCCTACCCAAATAATTGACCAGAAAACTGATGAACAGGTAACCTCACCTTTTATTTACAGTAAAGGAAGAAACGAGTGAAGAAAAGAGGAGTTAAGAAAACAGAAGAGCGGGGCTGGGGATTTAGCTCAGCGGGCAAAGCGCCTGCCTGGCAAGCGCAAGGTCGTGAGTTCGGTTCCCAGTGCCGGAGAAAAACCACAAAAAAAAAAAAAGAAAAGAAAAGAAAACAGAAGAGCAAAGCGAGCTACATCCTACAAGCAGGGTGGCACAGGGCACAAACAGGAGGACAGCAGGACAGCATGATCACAGAGCTGGCAAAGTCAATGGCTGCCCTCTTTTATATCCTCCCAGGTCACCCAGTGGAAGTTGCTCTGCCCACCCATCCTGGCTGTGATTGAGAGATCACATCTTGTCCATCAGCCTCCCTCCCAGCTCAGGTTACATACTATGTCCAGCCAGCTTGCCATGCCCTAACCTCCTGCCTCATGGATGCAACCTATATTCCTCCTCTTTTTTCTCCTTCCCATCCTTCCCTCCTGAAGGTCTCACTATGTTACCCAAGCTGTAGATTAAACTTCTGGGCTGGAAGGATCCTCTTGGCTCTGCCTCCCAGTGGCTGGGATGATACATGTATAGCACCCTTCCCTCTCTTTCTCTGCTGTATAGGCACAAAATTTTAGCAAATAAAATCTGACTATATATTAAAATGTTAATATGTCATGACCAAGAAAGGTTTAAACAGAAACACAAAGTTTGTTGCAGACAATCAATGTAATTTATCATATTAACAAATTGACAAAAGAAAGCAAACTGAAAAGCCATAGGAGCATCTTAGCAGATGCAGGAAAAGCAGTGGATAAAATCTAACAGCTGTTTCTCAGAAAACTCTGAAAAAACAAGGAACAGAACTTTTGAACAGGAAACGTCCAGTCTCCTGCCCTGGGCATCATCCCTCCTGAGGACAGACCTGGCTCCTTTCCGGTTGCCATGGGAACACTCCTGGGCTCAGCAGTTCAGAGTCACAACCAATAATTAGCTCTGGGGGTCAGCGGTGGGAGGGCGGGCTTTACCCGGGGACTACCGGAAGTGACGCGATTTCGGCGCGCCAAGCCACGACTTTGGAGGCCTCCTGGGTGGCGCCAAGGCTCTGTGGAGAGGGGCGGGAAGAAGCACCTCGCTGAGGAGAGGACTGCCGGCGAGATGGAGAGGGGGACCGAGGAGGAGAGCGGGGCCCGGGGCGAGACAGCCGGGTCCGACCTCGGACGTCGCGGGGGCGCGGCTCGTCTGGGAATTCTGAGTGTCCTTGACATGACGGAACAGGGCCCGGGGAGGCTGTGTGGGACCAGGACCCGCGCGGCAGAGACGTTGACTGACGTCGCAGTGGTTTCAAACGGGAGGAGGAATCTGCGCCTTGCTCACGAGCGGAAGGCTGCTGGGACGCGTGTGGCCGGCGTTGTCCTCGGGCCCTGCCTTGAGTCGGAGGTGCCGGCAAAACTGCGGATTTCGGAGGACACAGTCCTTGACGTGGCTGCGTAGATCCCGTGTTTCTTGGGGGTTTTGTTTCTTCGTCCCGAACGTGTGCACGGGCCCGTGAAGGAAGTCAGCCGTCCGGGCGGGCTCCAGGTCCAGCTCAGAGGCGTTTGCAGTGCTGGAGCGGGCGGGCATGGAGAGGGCGAGCAGACAGAAGCGATGGAAAGAATCGCCCCTTCCCTCCCCTTCAGACCTGCCTCTGTGCAGAGCCGAGGACTGGAGGGAGAGTGTCCCACATGAAGCCCAAGTTGGTTCTACCTGTTGTTACCTAGTGGGCCTTTCCAGGCCCAACTGCAGGGCCATGACAAAAACTGCTTTTAGGTTACTGATGTGTCAGGAGTAAGACAAATCATGCTTTTCTTCCCCCTGGACATAGGGTCTTGATGTATAGTTCAGGCAGGTCTTGAACTCACTGTGTAAGCCGGGCTGGCCTCGAACTTGAAGCGATCCTCCTCCCCCAGCCTGCCAAGTGCTGAAATTATGGGTGTGTTCCCCAGGCCTGGCTAAATCATGCTGGTGATGAGTAACTGGCTAAGGACCCCTGGGGTTTTTGTTTCTGTCCCTGTGGTGGTCTCTGTGGTCCCCTGTCACTACTGTGCTCTCCGACTGTGTCATGAATGGGATGTCTCTGGGTAGGTGTAGTAAACCCAGCATGTGAGAAGTTGCAAGAGCAAGACAGGAGTGAGGGGCTACATCGGGGTGAAAAATTAGGGCGGACTTAGTGGTGTCTGGGTAAAGTGCCTGAGCATTCTTTAGGGCTGCTGTTACTCAGTGGCTGAAAACAACAATAAGAACTGTCTCTCTTGCAGGAGCCAAGCTGAGGCCACAACCAGAACTGAAGAGGCAGATGGAAGAGAAAGTTGGCACAAGTGGAGAAAGAAAATTCCCCCAAAAGCATAAGGTCATGGTAGAATAGGTAGAAACCAAAAATGTGGAGGAAAAGTTGGATGAGAAGCTTCAAGGGAAGCTGAGGATGCCTCGTGTCCTCCTGGCTTCCAGGCACAGCCTGAGCAAGCAGTGTGGTTGGAAGGGAAAGGGATTCCGCAGTGGATTCATGCACCTAGCAAAAGAGTTTCCTGGGTGGACACAGAGCAGGATTATGTCACCTGGAAGCATCAACTCCAGGAGGGGAAACAGAACCGTGAAATCCAAGTCCTGTTTCCAGGGACTAGAATTTGGTGCTGCCCTCATTGCAGATGCCCGGCCGGTGAGCATGAGTGGAGAGGGAATAACTTGGCGGGAGAAGGTGGATGCTGCACCCTCAGCAGTTCTGCTCTGACTTAGGGAGGTGCAGGATAGGGGATTCCTGCTTGGAGCTAGGGAGACTCCTCCGGTCCGTCTCCCCTGGCAGCAGGTGAATATTTGCGTGCAGCATCTCTCACATACATCTCTCACTGATTGCTCAGTGTTTCTCCCCTGTGTTTTAACTTGGGAGTTTAGATACTAGAACTGTTTCCCAGAAGAACCCAAAGCTGGGAGAGGGAGAACAGCAGTGGTTTCAACACCGTGTGGCATTTCTCCTGCACTAGTTGTCCGTGGCAGCACAGAATACCATGGACAGGACAGAGGTGCTGTGCTTCATGACTAGGAAACTCAGCAAACGAGGCCCTGAACATCGTCCCATTTTCACCAGAGCTTGAAGGTTGACGTCACCAAGCGGGGCTGTGTGGACAGGCCGCTGTCTCAGGAGCTGATAGTTTCCTCCTGGAGTCCTTTGAGCCTGTCTGTGACAGAACATGGGGGCAGAAATGTTCTTGCCATGATGGGAGGTTTGCAGCCACGTTGGTGCTGTCAGTGAGGGAACGCTGTTCTGATCCTCGGTGCTTGGGCCTGCACTAGGAACTGTGCATACAGAGACACAGAAACTGTCATCCCAGCGTCCCCAGAGCTCTCATACAGGGAAAGCAGCAAGTCACAAGATGGACTGAGACAGGGAAGCTGCTGCTGGGTGGAACTGCATCACTGTTTGCATTGCTTCTCCCTCTGGTTTTTCCAGCAGCTGAAGATAGTGACTGTGGCCACTCAGAACATCACCACCACCTAGGCTCCAGGCTGAACGCCATTCCCATTGTGCGGGTCTGAGGATGGCCTCATGTGTATCCCCTGACTGTGTTCCAGTCAGCTGGAGAAGTGAAAAGCCAGGTTCAGTGAGACATACAGGTTCATCCTTGCCAAGTCATCCTGATCTTGACTCTGTCTGAGAAGAGCTTTTCAATTTCACTCTTCTCTCCCCATGTGAAGGCCAGTTATGTATTGGCCATACTTCTAAAACTGTATTACCTGTTGTTTTATACCAGTTGTGAAATAAAATGGGGTAGAAAATTTAACCCCTTCCCGACGGGGCCAAAATTCCTGTGTCTCACTACTGGGCAGCTTGAACCACCAGTGGTACAGGCGTGACTGTCCCTTGCATGACTGTACCACTTGTCCCTCGGTGATAAAGGTGGCAGATGGGGCAGTCACACGTACCACTGGTGGTTCAAGCCAATGGGGACCTGTGAAGGCAAGTTTTATATTTGTAGTGAAAACATACGAGTGAGTGCAGGACCAAAACTGGGTTCATGCTGCTCAACTGGTTGAACAACAGTAATTTGTATTCTACTGAAACAAGAGTCAGCTCTGATTCCTGCTGTACTCCTCTTGCTGCCCTCTCCATTGCCTTCAGATATAAAAGCTGGGATCTACACTTTTCCGCTCAGGCAGTGCATTTGTGAACATCTTGTTTTTTTGTTGTTGTTGTTTTTTCCAGTACTGGGAATCAAACTCACGAGCTTGGAAAACTGTTGGGAAAGGCAGTTTTCCCAAGCCTTGTGCTTGCCAGGCAGGGGCTGTGCCACTGAGCTAAATCCCCAGCCCCCTAGGCAGTGCATTTGTGGCCCTGTCCTTAAAGCTCTGCGCTGGTTACACGGGGATGCAGAGGCTGGCACAGCCGAACTTATTAAGAGGAGCTTCGTTGTGTGCGTGCTCAGGATCACGAAGGACTCTCAGTACCGCAAGTGACAGCATGAGTCACAGACACTGCTGAGCCCACCCTGGAGACAGGGAAGAGGACAGGGACGGGACACGGCCCCAGGCTCTCTACCTCCTGAAGCTTTAGGACAAAAGGGCCCTGGGGAATCTCCAGAGAGTGTCCCATAGGTGAGGGTTCACACATATTTAGTGTGGGTTCTATGCGTAGTTTCCTTTCACAGGTGAAAGTTAGATGTAGATAGTATGGACATCAAGAGAAGCCATGCAGACATGGACAGCAGGGCCTGAGCAATTGGAGGCTGGGCCTTTATGCTCCATGAAGTTCAAGATCCCATGGAGACAGTGAAGCAGACAGGATGTAGTGCGGGAGAGGGGTCCGTTGGTGCAGGGAGAGCGCATTGTTGGCCTTCAGCAGCGCTGGTGACTTCTGGAGGAAGCGTCATCTCCAGGTGTCCTGTCTGAGAGCCCTCGGTGCCAGATGACCAATAGGACACCTGGCCTCTGTTGACCTCACTGAGGAGAGGCCTCCACCCATCCTGCCACCTGGAAGCGTGGCTGTGACTCCAGGGAAGGAAAGAAAACATATTCCTGAGTCAGTGACAGTGGAAAATCCATAGCTGTGCATAAATGAGCCGATGCTGATGGAGACAGTGGCTGTGGAACCGCAAAGCAGAGGCTCAGGATAACACTGTGTGGAGCCTTAGGACCGGGTGTGTGGTACACAGGTGGGCCCTGCGGACTCTGAACTTGTAGACTACAGTTGTCTACACTAAACTTCTCCTCTGCTTTTTTGCCAACAATACTTTTCTCCAGGAGCCCAGAGATGTTTTCAGAGTCTGAGATCGTCTGAAAACCACTGGCATCCCGTGGTGTCATTGGAGGGCAATGTGGGGTGAAGGAGGCCCCTTTCTCAGGTGTTGGACCAGGCCTCCTTCCTGCACGTGGGCAGGGGTGCTCCGTGCTCCTGGGTCACACCCGTTGCCCCGATTCTGCAAGTTTAACTGCTGACCTGGAAGGCGTTGGCTACCTGAGCATCTCTGTTGAAAGTGCAGGCCGACAACACCTAGCATGGTGCTGAGAGGGTGACTGGTGGTTGGGCACCACAACCTCGGTCTAGCGGCCCCTCCTCAGCCTCAGCTTCGATGTCACTGAGCCCCACGGCACACGTGCACTGTGGCTCATCTCCCCAGGCTCCTGGCCATGACCTTTACCCAGCTGTGTTCAGGGGAGTCAGCCCCAGGCAGCAGCTCTCGCTTAGCTCACAAGCACCCATCAGCTGAGTCCGGTAAGAGCTTCCGACCACCTGTGTTTGGTTCTATACCTGGGTGAACTGAATGCAGGCGTACAGCTACATCCCTGTTTACATGTCTTCCCCAAACATTAAAACTCCTACGTATTCAAGCTTTGCTACCTGAACTGTTTGAATGACATTGACAGCTGGGAAAAACTGCTGTAGGGCTAAGATGGCATCGAGAAATGACAATGCAGTAGTGTTAAAAAGAAAACCACAAAAAGCAACCCAGCCTAGACGAGGAAGCTACGTGGTAGTGGTGTCAAACTTAGCCGTAGGCAAAGCCAACAGTTTTCCCAAGCAGCAAGAAGACAACGAAAGGGGCGTGTAGCCACCAGGATCACACTGGTGATAGCAAAAGCGTAAAGCCCTGCCAGTGTCGTAGTGTCGTACGCTTTATGTTCTACACATTTTCATAGGTTAAGAAATAATGGGTGGTGCCGGAGTGGTTTTGCACACCTATAATCCCAACACTGGGGAAGCTGAGGCAGGAGGATCACTGTGTTTGAGGACAGCCTGGGCAATGTAGCAAGTTCAAGGAGAGCCTGAACTACCTAGCAAGACCTGGTCTCCTACCACTACGGCTAATAGTCATAATAATAGGTGAATATTGCGAGAATAATGTCCCGATAGTTCTACATGTTCACCTTTGCTTAGCTTTATAGTTTGGGTTTCAGCAAAACCCCTAAGAAGTATATTAGTAATAAAGACACAGCAAGGTAATTTCCATACTACCCTGTGGAGACTGAACTGTTGGGAAACGGTTTCTGTTTGGGTGGTGTTAGACATGCAGAAGAGTGAACACTGAGAAATATACCTGGGTTTTTGGGAAGGAGGCTGTTGGGGTCAGCCTGGGGGTGCACAGCCTTGTCAGGGGTGCATGAGCGGGAGGTACTCCTCAGTGGGGGCCTTGGGTATGGGCACAGCCCAGGCAGCTAGAAGGCAGGGCCTCCTGGCATTCCGTGACATCCCCGCCTTCCAGTTCTGCCGTGACTGTTGACCGTTGCCTGGCACGCTGGCCCACAGCCACTTCGCTCGGGTCTGAGTCTCAGTTGCAGGCAGGACCTTCTGCTCTGATCTCAGATTCTGGACCTTTTTTTCTCAGTGAAATTCTTAAGTGTGGTGAGGTGTTGGTCAACTTATTCTCGATAATGAGTTCATCGGTGTACTTACTATCTTTCCTCAGCCCTGTTCCAGCCTGTTTGATTCCCTTTGGTTGGTTGGTTGGTTGGGTGGTTTTGTTTTGTTTATTTGTTTGTTTTTTGAGATAGGGTCTCACTATGTAGTTCAGGCTGTCCATGAACTCACTGCATTGCCCAGGCTGGCCTGAACTTGTTGTGATTCTCCTGCCTCAGCCTCCTGACTGCTGGGATATAGGCATGAGCCACCACACTCAACTTGACACCCTTGGATTTTAACCCAAGTTGTGTTTGGATGTCTCCATAGTCTTTGGATTTACGTCCCCTCTCACCACAGTCACCATGGCGGTACCACTCAGCCCTAATCCAGGGGCTGATGTGAATGCTGTGAAATTCAGTGAGGATGTGTGTCCTCAGACAGGAGAGCATAAACTGTGCTTTGACGACTGCAGATCCAATCCTGTTAGACCTGAAGCAGCTCTTGGCTCTCTGGACAACGAGGTGCCAAAATGTGGTGAGTTGTGTAGGTTCACAGTGACCAAAATGATAAATGACTCTGATCTCCCTGTACAGGAGAAATGGTCTCGAAAGTGATGCTTTGCTTCACTTTATCAAAATAAATTTACCTTCCCGCATCCCAGAAAGATGGAAGTTGGTATTTTGCCTTTTATTTGAATGGATAACTAAGGCTCACAGCACTTCCTAGTTTCTCCCAGTTTATGGTGAGGACTAGGATGGGAGCAGGGTAAAGATCCCAGTTCCCGATGCCTGTTGAAGCAGGGAATGGTCTGCTTTTCTCAGGACTAGGTCCAGCCAGGTGGATGAGTTTCCTGT